TTTTTTCCATTCCTGTCAGCTCAGCCTTGGAAGAAGCTTGAGGAATGATAGTGTGATTACAAAAATTTAAGTTGGTGTCGTTGCAAAGCATTTAAGCCATCCTCACCAGCCTTGCCTCCCATATCTCCACACTCAGTTAGAGGGAGGGCAAGTGACTTAACCTCTCAGTTCCCTTCCTGAACAACGGGGTAACAATGGTGCCCACTTGGTAGAGTTGCTGTGAGCACAGAGGGAGATGGAGCGAGTCCAGTTTGCCCCCCTTGTTGTAGTTCTCCTCATTAAACTTGACTGCTTTCTAGAAGTCAGTCAACAAACACATTCTTAAGATCTGCTTTGGCCCAACCTCCCATTTGTCCAATGGGGCAAAAGAGCCTGGCTAGAGATTATAGGACCCCTGGTCCTGGAACTCCCCCATGTGGCCAGCTCGGAAAGAAGCCCTCCTTCTTGAGAGTAAATTGCGTAAGCAATGTGCTCCTTCAGTGGCCACTGTCGTCAGAAATGCAGCTGGGGCCTTTTTGTCAAGAAGTGATCCTTTGGGGCGGGGAGCCATACAGGTGCACGCCAATCCCCTCATAATGAAATGTAAGAAAGGAAGCAGTTCAGTTCAGTTAGGGGCGTACAGTTTTAAATTAGATAATGCATTCAAAAAACATCCTACAAGCTGTGGAGTGTGATAACCTCAGGTATTATTATTATTTCCCTTATTTCGGTGAAATTTCATGGGCTGCTAAGTCTGCGATGGCTGGTTAAAGGGCCAGGGGATGGACAGGCTCCAACGAGGAGCTTTCTGGGGAAGCGAAACAGAGGAGAAAGGGTTAAACTCCCCAGAAAATCAATTTATGCAAAGGGCTGGATCCTGACCCGCATTCAGGCCTCGCTAAAGATCTGAATTACAAATGTACCGAATTTGCTGCTCAGTAAGTAATTTCTTTTCTTCCTAATGGAGCCTATCCTTCCAGAGGGCCAGGCCACTGTTTTCACGAGAGAGTGAAGGAGCTCTAGACCGCAGAGGAGCCCGATGCTGCTCACCCTGGGAGCTGCCTTTTAAAAGGCTTAAGGAGGGACGTGGGGAGTCGGTTAAAACCAGCCCTATCCCCTCTCGTTTCTGTGGGGCGCTCTCTGCGTTTGCTCCTTGGGTGAGTTAATAACTGAAATCACGTCCCTGCTCTGTAAGGAAGGTAGGCAAGCCAGTTGCCTCTTTTAAAGCTGAAGATCAATTTGGGACTATTTGACATAAGAAATGACGTTTGTCATGTTCAGTGGGCAGAAATCTGCTCCCTTCCAGGCCCTTTGAGAAGGAGCCAGCAGGACTCGGTTAAAGAGCCAGCAGATTCTAGCCTCTTGGAATCTAACTGAAATCTGCGCTGTTTGCAAACAAACAAGGACAGTCAGCCACGGGGGGTGTGTGTGTTTAAATCCCTGGTAATTTGTTTAAGGAGAAGGGGTAGGTCAGGGGGGTGTGAGAACAAAAACACAAGAACTGCATTTTCTTTCTCTTTTCCCTCCCTTTTGGGCATTTTTGGGGGTATGTGTCCCTTCCCCCAAATGATGACTTCAGGAGGGACCTAAGGACTGCTGAGAACAACCGTGCCGTTGAGTGAAGTCTTGTGTGGACATCGGTGAGAAAGCCACCAGCAGCTGGCACCGGGAGCGGAGTTTTTGCTTTTTGTTTCCCCAGGGGCGGCCATTTCAGCTCAGCAGCCCGATTCTTGGGAAAGGCCACCTCTTCTTGACACCGGAGAAGCCGCACTTCCCTGTGCACCTAAAAATAAATAAGCAAACAAGTAAATGAGAACACAGGCCTGGCCAGGTCCCTCAGCCCCTTCCCGCCGGCGTTTCTCTTTCAGTTTCGGGGCTCAAAGCCTCTGGGGCAGGTCAGCTGGCCCAGCGCCTGCTCTGAGGAACATCAGTCTCTGTGGCTCCTGTGCCCAGAGCTTTCCTGAGCTCACGTGGGGGCTTTCTGCTCCTTTCACGCTAATTCAGCACGGAGCCTGGAAATCTGTGTTTATTGTAAATGCTCAGGAATGGGCTCTCAACTAAAACAACAAAAAACACCCCATAAAACAAAAACCACCCAAAACTAAAAAATGGAGTTTAACTGGCTTCTTATACAGTTCGACGTAGAATCCCTCATACAAGTCGGCTCTGGCTTAACCGTCCGTGCCTTAAAAACGAGCGAGCAATTTCAGTGAAAGCTTGCTCTCCTGGGCCAGGATGGGAAACCGGTTACAGAAACGGCTGGCATGCTGCACAGGGAAATTCTCGGCCAAGTACCTCTTCTCAAAAAAATGTAAATTTTTTTTTCTGGGGAGATGGCAGAGGGGAGGCTCCTTCTGCATATGACTTAGTTCCTCCTGGGGTATTTCTCATCAAGGCCAAAAGCCCCAGTGTCCAGTGAGGTGANCTCTCCTGGGCCAGGATGGGAAACCGGTTACAGAAACGGCTGGCATGCTGTGCAGGGAAATTCTCGGCCAAGCACCTCTTCTCAAAAAAATGTAAATTTTTTTTTCTGGGGAGATGGCAGAGGGGAGGCTCCTTCTGCATATGACTTAGTTCCTCCTGGGGTATTTCTCATCAAGGCCAAAAGCCCCAGTGTCCAGTGAGGTGAAACTTGCAAACGATGCTGTCACCTTCCTCGCTGCCTGGTGTGGCCCAGGCCCCCCCCCCCTTCCCGTTTCCCTGGACTCTTCNAAGCCCCAGTGTCCAGTGAGGTGAAACTTGCAAACGATGCTGTCACCTTCCTCGCTGCCTGGTGTGGCCCAGGACCCCCCCCCTTCCCGTTTCCCTGGACTCTTCCCCTGCTCTGTGATGGCAGGGCTGAGGGAAAGCCAGCTCCCCCAGGGGCTTCCCCAAGGGGTAGTTTCCTGATTTGTGCCAAGTTAAGCATTGGGACCTGAAGTGCCAGGAGGTCATTCTCAACCGGGTGAGTCAGACACCGAGCGATCCCCAGGCCTGGGCAGGAGGCCTGAAGAGCATGGCTCAGCTGCAAGGGAAACACTTAGGGCCTTTATTTGAAACCTTGCATCCAGCAGGCCCCAGCAGCAAAGGGCCCCCTAATCTGGTTTTTTAGAGATACCATGTATTTTTTTCTTTCCTAAACACATTCTCTAAGTGTCTCACTGCCAAAGCCATGGTTTTATTTGCCTGAAGTGCAGACTTAGGAGAATATATTCCCGACTGATTTATTTCCGATAGAAGTGCGATGGATTTGTATGAGCCATTGTGTGTGTGGATCTGTGTGAGTTACGTGCATCTATTGGTATGTGTGTGAACAGGAGTATGTGCACATATTTATCTTTTCCTGTATGCATTTATGTTCATGTGTATAAATGTGTGCATGAATTTATTTTTGTATGCAAGTGTATATTTATATTTATTCACAGGTATGCATTTATGCTCATATGTATGAAGGCGACCCTATGTGTGTGTGTCTGTAGTGGACCCTGCCCATGCAGACATCCTCTAGCTGCTAAGGGATCCCAGCTTCTCAGCGCAATTAAAGCAGCTTGCCCTTCCCACCACCTCACAGGGTGGCCCATGACTCACCAACAAGTAGAGGCGGGCCCCTTGGCTCAAGGTGGCCCCAGCTGCGTGGTGCAGTTCGTGCTTCAGCGCCCCCTGGGGATGGTGCAACTCAACTCCAGCTGAGCCCAGTCTGCTCAGCTCCTTCCAGCCCTCCCTCAGTATTTCACATCATAGGAATGAATCCGTGTCTCAGTCTCTGCTCTAGGCAGCCTGGCCCAAGACAGTACTTTTATATAGGTGTGTGTATGTGCAAATAAATGTGCATGTGCACACATTTGTGTTCGTGTGTGCCCCCACACAAGGAAGTCTGGAGGATCTGGGAGAGAAGGCAAGCTGTGCGAAGAGCATTGATTTTTTTTTTACTAGGGCAGATAAAGGCATCTCAGACATGGGATGTCAGAGACCCGCTTTAAAAGTGGAAAATTAAAAGATGCTTTAGATGTAAATGTATTTTTTATTAAATCAGAGAAAGATACAGTACATGACATCAGCCAATCATATGCTACTTTTGAATTACATTTTAATAGACCCATGGTCCTATTTACTCCTCTGTACAGGATGAAAAAAACTCAGATATTTGAATAATCTTCTGTAAATTTTTATTAACTGGGGTTATAGGGAGGGTTTTATCAGAGCACATCCTGAGAACATTAGGAAATTACAGACAGATTTGAGATAAGTGCCAGACAGAACAGATGAAGGAAGCCCTGAGCCATCTGAGAAACATTAATAATGTAAGATCGCAGAGACCACATCTTTGTTAGGGACACGGAGGCAGGATTCAGATGGAGCCCCGGGCGCCCCCTTGTGTCGCAAAGTAAACTCGCAACTACATTTGTTTTTTGTTTTGTTTTTTTGGTTTTGTTTTTGAAGTTGTGATCCTTGCCCTTGTCACCGACCCTCGAAAAAGCAATTGTTGACCCAAACCGTTTCAAGCCCTCTCTAGTCAATCTTGCCCTCCCTTCAATAACGTGCAGGGCCCTGTCTGAAAGGCCCTTACTCTTTCCTTTGTTCATTCCCCCACACATTCCATTTCAGGCCGCTGGCAACCCCCGACCGGGAGCCCTGGGCTCCCTCCTAGAACCAGGAACTTAAACGGGGTTTCCTCTCCCCTCCGATGAGCCTACAAAGCTTGATTACTCAGGGCAGCCATTTCTTTCCTGAAACTTACTTGTCTCTGCCGTTTTTCATAATTTAGCCAGAATGCATTCCTCTCCCCCGCTCCCACATCCACTCTTCTGACCTGACTAGTTAACTTGCTAAACCATTCTAGCAGTTATTTACCAGGAAAGATTGGACCAGAGACGTAAATAATACACCTCAATATACAACAGCTCAGGCTTAGTTTGTAGGCAGAATTTCATTGGATGGCCATCAGAAGAAAAAATATATACATGGAGTGGGTTTGGGGAGGAGATGACAGGGAGGAGGCATCTTGGTGGCAGGAGGACTTGGTGGGAACTGTGGTGATTTGTTTACTTGGATTTGCCAACTGGTCCAATGGATACGGGGTCTGTTTGCACTTGAGCGTCCATCATCCGCTTTGGTCCCTGGAGAAAAATATAAAGAAGTATTTCCTAATGAAGATCTGGAATATCAGTAGCAATAGCTGCCATTTATTTAGCACTTACTCTGCGCCAAGTGCTGTGCTCAAATAAACGCACCTTACTGGCCAGTGGTGGATAAGACAATAGTCTCCCTTTCGATGTCCAAGTTCAATGTCACAGTTTCTAGCTCTGTGAAATCTTGGACAAATAACTCATTGTGCTTCAGTCAGTTTCTTTTTTACTTTTAGGGAGGAAGGGAGAGAGAAACATCGATTTGCTGTTCCACTTATTTACGCATCCCTTGGCTGATTGTTTGCGTCCTGACTGGGGATCAAACCTGCAACCTTGGCTTATCGGGATGACGCTCTAACCAACTGAGCTGCCCAGCCAGGGCCAGTTTCTTCATCTTTAAAATGGGGGTGATATAGCTTATCTCAGAGAATCGTTCTAAGATAAAGTGAGTTTGTACTTGTAATGCACTTAGAACAATGCCCGGGGCTTAGAAAACTGTTCATGATTATAGCTTGTCAGTCACCCTCTCTAATCACTTTCTAAGCACACTGCCCTGTTTAATTTTCTTACAAAACACATCATGTGTGAAATGACACGCGTCTAACATCTGTCTCCACTGCGTGGAAGCTCTGTGGACTGTCTGCCGTATCCTCGGAGCCAGCAAGTGCCCAGCACATAGTAGGTATTAACTGAATGTGGCTGAATAAACTGTGAGCCAAGTACTGTTATCACTGTGGTCTTCATTATTTAACCTCTCCCGTCAAGTATAACTTACGTACAATACAATTAACCCATTTTTGTGCACAGTCCTATGATCTTTGACTAACACAAACAGTCACGAAACCATCACCAAAATAAAAATATGCAGCAGTTCAGTTGCTTCCAAAACCCCTCTAGACCCTTTGGAGCCCACCCCCGCCCCCCAGCCCCAGACGCTGGCAGCCACGGCCTGTTCCCCTCCCCTAGACTCCTGCCTCCTCCTCCAGGGTGCCACGGCCGCGGGGCACAGGGCACAGGGCCCCTGAGTCTAGCTTGGCTCATGCAGCCTAAAGGGCTTGGTCCCGTCCTGCTGCGCCTGTCAGGGCCCTCTCACTGTCGGCCCCGTTTCACAGGGCAGTGGATACAGTGTAGGGTGTAGGGTGGAACACGGGGTAGTCTATGCAGTGCGGTAAAGTACACGTGTGGGGCAGGTGGCACACACAGTGTACACTGTAAAGCACACACAGTGTAAAGTAGTGCGATCGGTACTGTGTGTGCACAGTGCTGTGTCTATAATGTCGGACAGGACAGAGCACCCCAGGACGGTGTGTACTGAGGAGTATGTTATATATACATACGTAGGAACCTACCATGGTAAATACGGCGTGGCATACAGTATATATAGTACCGTTCAGCACACCGCAGTGTATCTGCTGTAGCACATATAATATATAGGGTATATTATATACCCTATATATAGGGTATAGTATAGTATCTACAGGGCTGGGCAAAAGTGGGTTTACAGTTGTTCGTATGGAAAATACAATAGTTAATAAATAATAATACAAGAATAAATATGCCCCATGGGTAGGGTAGCCTCATACGCCCTGGTGAAGGACAGGTAACGCAGGTCACAATGCAGGACCGCAGGGCGTGCGTGCAGGACAGACAGGGTGACGTACAGACGGTGGGCGTGTCTGTGGGGCACCTACTGTGCAGAATACACCGTTAGTCTTCGGGAACATGCAGATGGCAGGACCGCGCGGCACAGGGCAGGCCGGGGCTCAGGAGCCAGGGCTCGAGGGGGGACTCGTCTCTCTCTGGCTTGTGACCTCTGATCAGCCCTTTGCCCCGTGAGCCTGTGGCCTCGATAGTCCACACGGCGGGTCCTACGGCTGTGACCACACCTCACAGTGCCCCATGCAGCTGACTTCAGTGTCACACACACAGCAAAGGAGGAAGCTCCGTGAGCCTAAGTCACTTAAAGCAAGTCGTCCCCTAGCGAGCATGGGTCCAGCTTCTGTCTCCCACTTGCCTGCACCCCGCGCTATTCTCCCAAGTGCGACGCAGCTCCCAGCCCCCCGGTTTACGTTGCGTCTAAATGTCTGATGCTGGGATTGGACCGCAAACTCCTCAAGAAACGCCAGTGTCTTACTCCTCTCTGGACCATTATAGCCCAGGCACAGGCTGACTAAATAATACTCAGGAAACAGTTATTGCTTCCTGACCAATTACAACCTGCCAGGCTTTGTTCTAAGGACCTGCTACCCCACCTCATTTCACCTCCACGCTAGCCCCGTGACGTCAGTACTGTTAGTCCCACTGATAAGGTACCTGAAACTCAGAAAGGTGACTTGTCCAAGGCCACACAGCCACTAAGTGGTAGAGCTGGGTTCAAATCCTGCAACAAGCTTCTAGGTTTCTAGGGCCTGGACTCAGGCTGCTGTTTTAGTGTGAAAACCGCCATAGACAATATGTAAATGAACGTGTGTGGTTGTGTTCCAATAAAACTTTATTTATAAAAGCAAGTGGTGGGCTGATTTGGCCCACAGGTTGCAGTTTATAAACCCCTGGTCTAACCTTGACACTCCTGACACTATTGATACCTCTTCTTTGAGGGAGACTGTCCTGTACACTGTAGGACACTTAGCAACATTCTTCGTCCCTACCCACAATGTCCCAACAGCACCTATTCCCAGTTGTGACAATCAAAGTTGTCTCCGGACACTGACAAATATCCCCTGGGTGCAAAATCACTCCTGGTTTGGAACCACTGGTGAGACCCATCTCATTAGATCCTGGGATTTTGTGGGTAAGGAGACGTGCAGAGAGCATCCTTTGGGCCTCTGGCAAAGGAAACCGAGAACCCCCAAGAAAGAGAGGCACCTGGGCTATGAACGCAGAAACCTTCCCGCGCTATACACCACCCAGTGCTGAGCAGCGCTGCCGCTTAGCAGGTAATGGCTCAACCAGAGCTCTGGGCAAGTAACATGCACAGTCGGTTTGGAAATGACAAAAACGTATGATTAGGGTTCACACTCTGCAAGGAGCAGAGCTGAGCATGGAGGCAAACGCCACCAAACCACCGAACGCTGGTCAGTCTTATCCACCGTCCCCTTCGGATTCTCTCTCCTTTCTTCATCGCCTCTTTGAAACTAGAGGGGGGCCTTTCACCCGAGGCTCAGCTCTGGGGACTCAACTCTGTGCTAGGGTTTCACATCCCCAAATGGCCTCAAATTGTGACTGATCACACTCTCTCAAACTGAGGCTCTGCACACATCCTCAAGGACGCAGAGACGAGGCAGCAACGTGGTGACATCAATCATAACACTCTACGCTTGGGTCTGAGATTCCTCATTTCTAACAGGATCTCCAGAGACGCTGTTCTGAAGACCACGCCTGGGCCAGGGGAGCCATCCCCCTCACCTTCCTCTGCCTATTAGAGGTCACCAGACGCTCATGGAACAGAGCAATTATGAATGACCAGGTAGGTCTAGGGTGCTGTGCTTCATGTAACTGCCCCACCTTATTGCCGCGTGAAGGTTAACCCCAGGCCATCGGCCCCACGACTGGCGTCAGTGTCATTTCCTTGCCTTGCCCTGCTGGCTCAACCCATAGTCTCCTGTGTCCTCGGTCTGATTTCACTTGTTTCCCCTCCTAGTTTATGCTGATCATCTTATCATCTGAGTCATGCCCCTTCAGACACTCCTCGTTTGCCAGGATTTACATTCTCCCGAGTAAAATGAAACATTTCCTAGTGTCCTATTTCACTCCTTCTAGCCATCCATGGATCCATCCATGCAGCCATCTGCCCATCCAGCCACCTACTCTCCATCCATCCATCCATCCATCCATCCATCCATCCATCCATCCATCCATCCAGCACTAATGGAAGGTCTACTATGTTCTAGCCACCACGATGGGAGGAGAGTGCACTTGCCCATGACAGGCGTGGCCACTGCCTTCCCAAAGCCAATAGTCTAGGGAGGAAACAAAGAACCAAAGAGGCAGAAACGAAGAACACAAAAGGCTGATTAATCACTTCAAGTCTGGCCTCCAACTGGGCTTCCCTGGAGCGAAGGAGCTCAGTTGTAGTCACCTGTGCACCCTGCACCCGGGTCACGCGTAGAGCAATTTCCCTGGTTTAAATTCTTCAGGACTGCCTTTGACGAGTCTCTCGCAGACGAACGTCAATGCTTCTTGCTGTTCCCTGTCCCTGCCCACCTCTCCCGTCCCTGCTTTCTCCTCCAGCCAGGCTGCCTCTCCAGCACACCTGGGCACCCGTCCTCCCACTGCCTGGAACTCATTCTGCCTCCAGACCACCCCTTGTGTCCTCTGTCCACAGGCTAATGGGAGATCCCACACCTCCTCCGAGAAGCCCTCCCTGATGCTCCTCTCAAACTCAAGGCCAGGCCACTGTCCTCACCCTCAGGTTGACCTTTCAGGCCTGCCTTCTGCCTCCTAGCTGTTCCCAGCACCCCACCCACCCCATCAATCCCGCCCTGACTGTCGCCTCCAGACAGCAAGGCCTATGCCCACCTAGCTCTCCCTGTGCCCAGCACAGTGCCTGGTGCACAGCAGGCGCTCAACAAACACGGGTTAACCAATATCCGGCCAGCCCCTACCCAATCTGTCCCCTCTGGAGGCGGGAAGCATGCCCCTGGCCGAGAGCCCAGAAAGCAATGCTCAAAGAAAAGATCCACCTACCAGGCCCTTGAAGAAGCCCCCGAGGGACTGCCGCCGCTTCTCGGCTCTCTTCGGGGGCTTGTCCCGGTTCTGCAGCGCGTTGGCCGCGGCGGGCTCGGCACACGCACACGGGGCGGGCTCCTTGGCGTCCTGCGCGCTGCCCCGCTGCCTGTTGCTCTCGGGCGCCTTGGCCTTTGCGGAGCCCTCCCTGCCCCTCGGCCCTGCTCCCGCGGGCTCGGGCGCTGGCGGGACGGCCTTCTGCGGGGGGTCCGATGCCTGCGAGTTCAACAGAACGCGTCTCAGTGGCTGCAAGACAGCTCTCAGTGCATAGGTTAAAACAGATGCGCAAATGCTGGGTGCTAGCTACGTTTTCATGAATCCCGGGTGAAATGCCGAAAAGAAAAATGCGCCAATACTTATTACAGTACAAGGGCGCGGTGGGGAACATCCACTTATTCATCTAATGATTCGTTAATTTCATGCTTTCCCAGCAAGCATTCTATCTTCTCCTTCTGGTACTAGAACCTGGGTTTTCCCCAGGCGACCACTCTTCTCGTCTCTGTTCCTTGGGGTTTAGGCAAACTAAATATGCCCTGGACAAGAGCTTGTAACTCAGGCCTGGACAATCAGAACACTGAGTGTGACTGGGCTGCTGTGATTCATTCAGGACAGCCAAACACAGAGCTAATCTCAGAGCTTTGCTACAACAACACACACACACACATACACACACACACACACACACACACNAGAGCTTTGCTACAACAACACACACACACACATACACACACACACACACAGAGACAGAGACAGAGACAGAGACAGAGAGAGAAAGAGAGAGAGAGAGAGAGAAAGAGAGAGAGAGAGACCAGCTCCTTTTCTGCTGAGTTTAAAGATAAAAGCCTGGAGCTTCCAGAGCCACTGCCATTTCCTGGAAAATTCTGCTCGAAAAGTTAGCTAATAGAGAGGAAAGCTGAGAGATGAAGAGAGAGAGAGAAAGAGCCCACATACTGATGGCATTGTGTGTGCCCCTGGATCCAGCTGTTCCTGAAGCCCTCTCGCGCTTGCGCAGTTTTGAGGGGGTTTCTGCACGTGCAACTCCGTGTGACCCTTCTTGGGGATACTTTTTCTTTCCTTTATGTCTATCTTGATTTCTGGTGTGAAATTGCCCTTTTGCTTCATAAAACATGATAAAGAAGAGGATTGTTTTATTTTTAGTTTTGAACTTATATCCTTTCACGCTAAAGTGAAATGTTTACAATCCTACTTGGTTTCTACAGTTTGGAAAGATGAGGCTGTAAAATCCAAAAATCTAGAAAATATTGGATAAATTACAGATAACGAAAAATCTATTAGAAAGCAAAAGTCTTTTTCCCACAATTTACTTGAACTGAAGCATCTGCGGGGGCCAGAGAGCTAAACTAAAACCATGACCGAGGCTACTGGTAAGACTAATCCCATGGAGACCTTATCCCCCAGTTGTGAAACCAACGTAGGGCCAAGGAAATATTTCTCTAGTGTAAGAAAAACAGCAGTTCAAGCAAGGCTGTCTTTGATGTTAGGGAGACAATTTGGAGTAGGGGAACTGTGGTGACCTGAATGTCACATGCCCAGTCTAAGTATCTGCTCAGACCCAGCTGAGAGGTGCTCTCTATGTAGGATTACAGCCCAGTGCTGTCAGATCTGGTTTTTCAATGAAAACTTAAAATAGAATTTTTAAAACGTGAAATATGTCCATTTTTAAATGCTGACTTCTCGAGTTTTAAAGCCTTGTTCAGGGCAAACCACCTCTGCACCAGTACCCTGTGGGCCACATTTGACCTACTGCATATATGTTTAGAATCTCTGATCCATAAAGTTACACACTGTCCCCAGGTCCAGAAATTCTATGACAAAGTGGCAGTTTGATTGAGAAGGCAGCAACCACAGAGCTGTCGTTGACACCCGTGGATTAAGCACACCCCTTGGAAAGAGATGAGAAGACAGGGAAGATCCCCAGTCCTGAGGTCTCTGCAGGCTGCAGCCCCCTGGAGGGCAAAACCCCTTGCAGAAAGCAGCACCGGACACCCAGTGCACCTGAGACGCTGTTCTGCAAACACACGTCCTCAGTATTTCTGTCGGATCCCAGCTGCCTAAGTTGTAGCAAATGCTAAGATACAGATGTTCAAGTACAACAGACAGCCCTGGGCAGATACTCGCTTTCGAATGAGCCAGACTCCTGCCACGATGCTCTGCGGAAAGGCCAGAGACCAGTGACCCCATTCAAACAGCTTACTAACTGTTTTTGTTGCCCGGAAGATTTTAAGATACAGTAGTGAACAGCTAAGAGCTTAGTGTCTGAAGTCAAAGGGACCTGGTTTTATTGTTATCACACCCTCGCTGTGAGGCCTGGAATAAACTGTTCGATCTCTCAGCTTCCCCATCTTAGGGGGGTAATTAAGGAAATCATAGCTCATGGAGCTGAGGAGACTAAACTAGCTGGTAATGGAAAGCCGAAATGACACCATGTGGGGCCCATGTGAAATGCCAAACATAAGGGGACCAATCATCTTGGTTTGCCTGGGAGTGAGGGGGTTCCAGGACATGGGACATACAGCTTTAAGACCAGGAAAGTCCTGGGAAAACTGGTCATCCTGGTTTAACATCGCCCGAGGTGATCCCGAGAAACTGTGTGGACCCGAGGGACGGGTGCAGATGAGGCAGGCACTCAGGAAATACTGGTTGAATTGAGTCCCCCCGTCACAATTAAGTGAAGATTTAAAGGACAGGCAGGAACTCCCCATGTGGAGCAGAGGGAAGAGCAGTGTGAAAGCTTTGCAATAAGAAATAGCTGGGAAACTCTGGCTCCTGCAGAGTATCCGCAGAGTCCAGGTGGCTGCCCGATAGCCAGGAGGCGCTTGACCCAGAGAGTAAATGAGTTGGCAGGGTAGGGGTCGCACTGGAAATGAGGCTGGGAAGAGCCGAGAACATGCCAGCTAAACCCCCGCCGAACCCAGTTCACAGGCCACTTACTTGGTAGCTGGAGTCTTTCCCATTTATTTCTTCTGGGTGGGTGATCCTTCCATCCCCTTTCACTGACTAAAACAACAAACAGACACCGGCCTTTCAGCTACTGTAAGCGCAGCAAAATAGAGGCGCGAAGGGGGTTCTGATGCGGGCGGCCGCAGGCATTGGCTGTTGAGATTCAGATCACGCGGAAATGGACTACTTATGGGATGTACAATTTCCATGTGGTCTGCACCCAGAGTCTCATTAAATTCAAGTGCCGGCCTCCAAAAATGACAATAACGACAGTCTTCATCTCTAGGGCTAGGTAATTCTGGGATAAATAAATGGTGATGAGAATACCAATGCTGGAGCCAGGAGGTGACGAACATATTGAATGAGTGAATCAGTGAACAAACGGGTTGTCCAAAGATACAAGTTTCCAGTTTCAATGAGCAAGTACTAGGGGTGTAATATACAACGAGATGACTGTAGCCTCCTGTGCTGTGTGACACACAGGAAAGTGGTTAAGACAGTAAGTGCCAAGAGCTCTCATCACAAGGAGAAACATTATTTTTCCTTCTTGTCCCCCATTTCTTGTTTTGGGCCTGTATGAGATGAAGGCTGCTAAGTAAACTTATTGTGGTGATCATTTCATAATATATGGGAGTCAAACTTTTATGCCGTACACCTGACACTCACACAGTGACATATTTCAATTATATATTCATAAAACTGGAAAAATAAAAATAAAGTAGATGAACAAACAATTAAACCACTGGTAGCCTTTCATTTGGTGACATTTGGTGGCCCTCCCTCCCTGCCTCCCTCCTT